ACCCCGCGGGGACGCGCCATGCCCTCCGCCCGCGGATAACGGGGACGCGAGAGGAGCGGGGGGAGGAGGAGGAGGGGGAAGAGGAGGAAAGGGCGACGAGAGCGCCATCCTCGGAGGAAGCCCCGGCTCTGTCGCGTCAGCAGCCCCCGCCGCGCTGGCCCGGCCCCGGGAAAGAGGGGAGGGGCGCCCCCCACTGGCCGCGTCACTTCCGGCAGGCCGCCGGAAGCAGAAGTCCGCAGGGATTGAAAAGGAGGAAGAGAGGCGGGGGGGGGAGGGGAAGGGAGAAAAAGGGACGCGGCTGGACTACCAAGCCCAGCCTCCCCGACCGACCGGGGAAATGGAGTTCTGGACTGCAACTCCCAGAAATCCCCGGGAACGGGAAGCGGAAACCCGGGCAGCCGGAAGCGGAAGCCCAAGCCGCCGGGAACCGGCAGAGCCTCCTCTGAAGAAAGCGATGCTCCTGGACTACAACTCCCAGCATCCCTGGCGCTCAAATTTCCCTTTCCTTCCCCCTCCCCACCCCTCTCAAGGCCGGAGAGGGAGGGGCCTCTCTCGAGGATCGCAGGACCCCTGTATCCGTGGGACCGGTATCCGCTGACCCACCTCCCCAGCACCTGTAAAAACATCCTAGAAAAATATACGGCACCTGGATTTCTAAAGGCGAACCTACCGGAACTGGCTACCAGAGGACTTTTCACGTAGAGCGTTTGCTGCAATCCGCGGTTTTCAGTACCCGCTCGAGGTGGTGAACTTGGAACCAGCCTCCCGCTGATACAGGGGCTCTACCGTCCATGGGTCTTGTCTCTTTGGGGAGCCTGATACCTTCCTACATCATGACCATCACCCTTCCCAAATGCTCCTCTCTGGCTCTCACACCATCCCTGCTAGGTCGACTGGTGCCATGCCTTCATTTATGGATCACAGAGGCATGAGCACATCTTTACAGCAGCTGGAGGGGGGGCTCCCTTGCTGTTTTCTAGGACTTCAGCTCTTCTACCCTAGAAATATATGTTTCTAAAGTCAATGTTACCAAAATGGGCCATTCGAGGGAGCCCGAGGTCAGGCTGTGTGTGTCGTTTGCTCTCATCCACCTTTTTCAGCATATGCGGAGGGAGAGGCTTGGAACCAATTTCCCCAACCCTTTGTTAAGGGTCTACACGCAACTTTAACAGAGCAGCAGAGGAAAACATGGGCTTGCTCAACCGCCGGACCCAATGCAGGAATCGGGTGTCTTGTCCCCCCCCCCCCCGGTCCCCTGTTTGGGGTTCTCTCCTCTTTCTCCAGCTAATAAATATTAGAAATGGATGGCGTGGTTTGTGCAAACTTTTTTTTTTATTTCCACATTTATATCACAATGTGTCCACTGAAAGGACCAATAGCAAAGTTGCTCCCCTTCTGCGCCCCTTGGAACACAGAAGTCTAAATTTACTGTACATTCACTAAGGCTGTTTTTTTGCAGGTCGCTTTTTGTGATGGATTTCCATAAGGCAAACAATATCTAAAGGAATGGTAACGAGTAGATTTCCAGCATACAAACAGGCTTCAGGTCGTTTTCCCCCTTCACTAGACCATTTACAAACGAGTAGCACCCTCCGGAACGGTTTGGACTTTCCTTCGTTAAACAAAAAAAGAAAAAAAAAACACAAAAAACCAGAAGGGGAAGACCCACTCAAGGTGGGAGCGGGTCCTGCCACGAGAACGGTCAACCCTTCTTTTTTTTCTTTTTGCAAAATGAAATCAGACTCGGCCCCATGAAAGCCTTGGGAAGGCCAAGCCAACAGTGTGCCTCTCCCCTTTCCAGTTCTCCCAGTGCGTGCCCACCATCCTTGGAAGCCAGATTTCTGTATTTTTACTCTTTTTTTTTGCAGGGGGTGGGGGAGCTTTTGAAGAGAGATGCAATGCCAAGAACTATCCCTACAGTTTTGCGCAGTTCATCTTGAAAACACCTCACTGCCGTGGTTTTTTTTTTGTTTGTCAGTGGGTTGGTTTTTGAAAGAAAAGCAAATCAAGACAAATAAATACGATTCCACGAACTCTGCATGAAGGTTCCACTTCCACCATTCTCCCCCACCCCCGCCCCGCCACTTGTCCTGGCCCTTGCTCTCCCTCGTTCCAGCCTCCACGAAACTCCAGAAAAGATTCCACCCTCCAGAAAGCTCACACCTGTTGTGGTTTTCTGTTCTGAACAGCGGGCTTGCTAAGAGTTTAAAACTCTTTATTTTTTTTTCTCCCCCCCTCCCCTCTTTTAAATCAAAACTTCCCGTAGGGGTTAAGTCAACTGGTAGCAGCACTTCACATACCAATAAAAAAAAAAGGGAGGGGGAAACCACATTTTTTAACAAGAAGAAACTGCCAGTGTCCAGATGGCTCTCTTACGCATACACGCTTTCCTGGGTGAGCCTTTCTCAGCCTGATGGGAGAACAGCAGGGGGAGGAAGGGGGGCCCAGCGCCTGCCTGGTTTCACTAACCTGCCCATGTAAAAAGCATCCTAGCAAAACTGTACTCAGTCAAGGCAGACGTAAGGCAGAATGTTCAGGCGCCCATCGTCCCCGTGGGGGTCGAGCGAGATGCCCTGCGTCCAATCATACCAGTTACCCTGTGTGTCGTAGCAACCATTCACCCCCGGCCAGGGGTGGTTGGTGATGCGATCGAGGTCCCCCTCTGTCACCTCCCGGGTCACCCCTGGCAAGTCTGAGGGTTTACTGTGGGGAGCCAGGACGTGGGTCTTCCGGGCTTCTCTCCTAGTGCTTTCCTCTTGCTTTAAGTATTCGGACATGAAATAATGAGCCCCCGGAGTCTGCACCCCTGACGACGAGAGCAAGCTGCTCTGCCTGTTCAGGTAGGACTGAATGATCTCGTTCCGAGACAGCTCTTTCCAATTCGTCTGCTCAAAGGGGCTGTGCAGAGGGGGCTTGGGAGCCGGCTTGCCCGTGCCTGTCCTGGGGGGCTCAGCCAGAGCGGGGAGGTCTGCCGGCAAAGAATCTCTTTGCGCCAAGGGCTTGATCTCACCCGTCATGGGGTCGAAGGTCAGCCGGCGCTCCTTTTTTAACCGCACGGGCTTGACGCCCCCTTCGAGGCCCTGCCCATCCAGGTTGACCACGTAGTCCTTTGGGCGGTACTTTTTCTTCTTCTTGCTGTCGGAACCGGAGGCCGCGCTGTCACTGTCCATCCGGGAGGCCTCCGGGGAGAAGCCAGCCAAGGGGGCGGAAGACTCCCCAGGGGGAGATACCTCCCCACTGCCGGGAGAGGCATCCACGCACAGGCAGAGCTGGCTCTCGGGGGCGGCCTGTGGTTCCGAGCCACGCAGGGAGGGGTCCGGGACCAGGGGTGGAGAACCCTCCAACCTCTTTGTGGGGGGTGGCGGCGGCAACACCTGCAGCGGAGAAGAAGGGCGTGGTGGTGACGACAAGGGCCCCGCGGCCAAGGCATCCAGAAGAGGGGGCCTGGGAGAGCGAGCAGGGGTCCCACCCTTGGGGGAATACGTGGTGTGCTGCCGAACGAAGGTTTCCAGCCTCAAGTGCCGAGGGCTGAACGAGGAGCAACGGGGGCTCCTAGCCTGCCCGGCGGCCGCAGATGCCACCTCCTCCGCCTTCTCCTGCTGCTGCAGCACGGCGGTCTTCAGCAACGAGGAGGGGGCCGACGACTTGAACAGTCCCGGGGCGCTGGTGTGAGGCCGGACTGCGTTGATGGGGATCTTGCTCGGCTTCTCGTTCTCACTGGGCTCAGCTCTGCCGACTTCAGGCGCCTCCGGAGGGCTGGGGAAGCTCTCGGGGCTCCCCCCGATGCCATTTGTGGGGGGCGAGGGAGAGTTCTGTAATACTTCATAGCTCACTTTGGAAACTTTGGGGAGTGGTAGAGGTGGCCCCGGGAGGCCGTCCCGGGCCTCACCTTTCCGCTTACGATTCCCCGCTTTCGGAGAGTGTAGCTTCTGGATATCATTCCGGTTCTTGGCCTCTGGAATGGGCTTGGGCCCCACCACAACCCCGGGGGGCGTCTCCACTCGGCAGTTGTGGGCCCCTCCGTTGGCAGACCCGGGGGCATTCGGGAGGCCCCGCAAAGCAGCCTCGCTTGGCGTGACTGGCTCGATCAGCTTCTGCCAATTCCGCAGCAGCTTCTTGGCCCGCTTGGCCAGCTCCTCGTTCTTGGTCTTCTTCCTCACATCGTTGATCAGTTTTCCCAGTCGGGTTTCCTGGATTCGTAAATAAATAAATAAATATGAAAGAGAGAGAGAGAGAGAGAGAGAGAGAGAGAGAGATCTCATAGCTGAAAAGAAATACAGGGTGATTTCCAAAGGATCACAGAATCACAGAGCTGGAAATGGTCCTATAAGGTCATCCAGTCCAACCCCTTGCTCAAAGGCAAGCAGATCCAACTGTCAGGGGTCCAGTTTTCTCTTAAACACTTCCACAGTGGGACCACTCACCCCCTCCCAAGGTCATTGGTTCCCATTATCGTACTGCTCTAATGGTTAAGAAGTTTTTCCCTGATATTCGGCCAAAATCAGGTTCCCTGCTGCTTGAGCCCATTCTGGAGCATCCTGCATTCTGGGAGGACTGAGGACGCATCCTGCCCCACCTCTGTAGGACTCTCTTTGAAAGTCTTTGAAAACAGCTATCCAATCTGCCCTTTCACTTCCTTTTCAGGCTGACATTTAAATGGTAAGTAGGGGTTCTAAGAATGCTGTATCTAGTGCATCAGAGTGGGTGGGTTAATACAGTGGTGCCTCACTTAGCGATCGCTCCATTGAGCGACGAAATCGCTTAGCTGTTTTTGTGATCGCAAAAGCGATCGCTTTGCGATGTTTCCTATGGGGAAAATTCGCTTTGCGATGATCACTTCGCAAAGGCCCCATTTTCGCACAGCTGATCAGCGGTTCAAAATGGCCCCCCGCTGTTTTGCCCCGTTTTAGAGGCACCGAAAATGGCCGCTGCAATGGAGGATTTTCGCTTAAGGTTAGTTTGGAAGCCCATAGTATCGCATTAAACACGTTTTAATGCGTTTCTATGGGCTTTTTAAAATCGCCTAGCGATGTTATCGCTTTGCAGCAATTTTTGCTGCACGGATTAACATCGCTAAGTGAGGCACCACTGTATATTTTTTTTCCCCATGATTCCAGTCATTCTTAATCTTGTTACTTGTTTAACTGTGTTAAAATGTTTTAATTTGATCACTGTGTCGTTTCGGCTTGGTGCAAACTGTTTGAATCGCTTACGGAGAGAAAGGTGGCATTAAAAAAAGAATGAAAACAGAAAAAAAGGAAAGGAAAGGAAAGAAGCGAAGGGAAGCAGTAGAAGTTTCACTTGGCAGCTGGAGAGCTTGCAATACGAGTAGATAAACTTAATCTCCTAATCTCTGGCAGGCGGTGATTGTGTGAAGCTTTCCTGGAATTCCCCCCTTTCCAAGCAATCACATTCAAACGGGGCATCACTGCCCTGGGAACTTAAGGGTGTTCCTGCTCAGCCCAGCCAGCTCTCCAATGCGGGAAGCCTTCAAGTGAAAACTGGGCCACCACCAGTCAGATCTAGCCTCAGTTTGTATTCCTGCCCTGAGCAGGGGGTTGGACTGGATGGCCTTATGGGCCCCCTTCCAACTCCGTCCTTCTAGGGCAGGAATCTCCCAGGCCACTGTGTTGGCTGTCCCTAGACTAGAGACACAAAGCAGGCGGGATGACGCTGTCAAAACTCACCTCGAGGGCCTCTTTGGTGATGGGGTATTTCTCCAGGCTGGAGATCACTTCCAGGACTGCAACCATGTTATGTATCTAGGGAGGAACCAGAAAAGAGAGAAAATGTTAAATACATTACTTTTAAGCATACCGGGCTGTGCTCCTAAAGCTGCCACTTCTCATCCGGGACCACTAAATCAAAGATACAGCCAGTGCAGCTATAGGGCAAGAGACTGACAGGGAGAGCACTCTTCAAAGACCTGAAAGGAGGTCCTACAGAGGAGGGGGCAGGATATGTCATCCATTCCTGCCAGAGTGCAGGACATGTCAGAATGAGCTCAAGTGACACGAAGCTAGATTTCGGCTGACTATCACAGGAAATAGTTGTTGTGGGATTTTCGGGCTCTTTGGCCGTGTTCTGAAGGTTGTTCTTCCTAACATTTCATCAGTCTCTGTGGCCGGCATCTTCAGAGGACAGCACAGGAAAACTATCCAACTATTAGAGCAGTATGACAATGGGACCCCCATGACCAACGGGAGCTCACGATTCATCCTGCTGTGAGGCAAAACCACAACGAATGAGCTCCTATTGTGTCAGGCATGGTGTCTATCCAGCAGTGCTTTGGTGCAAAGGAGAACCCTAGAACCGTGGAGTTGGAAGAGGCTTCTAGAGTCCAAACCCCTGCTCAGGGCAGGAATCCAGATCAAAGCAGATGCTCTAACCCCATGCAAGGAAAGGGACATGAAAGAACCCCCCCCCCCAGGAGATCTCTCCTGTCCTACAACAGAGCCCTCTAACTTATAGGATTCAAAGCTTCAAAAACGGATGGATGGACCAAAAAAAAAAAAAAAAAGAGCAGATTTCCTTTAGAAAAAGCAAGGTTGTCTTGTGTCGACAAGAAAGCAAGGAGACAAGAGCTTGCCTCCAAATCCTTACAGAACAGGGGACACAGAAATAGGAGCTTGACTTTGTCAAAACGTGGCTGTGGCAAAGGAATCATACCAGCTCAAACAGAGAAGAGTTGGACGATCTGTGAAAAAATGAGCAAAGCAAGACAACGTATGTGGAAATGTGTTGTCCTGATATGGAAAGGCCATTTGGGGACACCGAGGAGAAGATGGAGAAGCACCTCCTCTGCCTTGTCTGTCTGTCCGTAAAATCATCCCGGCTAGACTGCTGTGGGATCCTAGCAGTGCAAGTGGGATCCAAACTAGTCTCTGGTCCTCGTAACCTGAAGTCTGCAGCCACAGAACCACACCGCCATCTTATACACCCACACTCCTTGTGAGCCGAGGGCCTATTTTGATGGTTTCTCACAGAGGGGGTTCCGACTGGGGCCAAAATCCTCTTGAATAATTCTGCATGCATAATGCACAGCTGCAGAAAGTGGTCGGGAAAATTCTAGCAGGACCGAAGTGGCACTCAACACAGTGCTTCGGCAGCATGCATCCCGCACAATCGTCGCCACAGAAACCACGCAACCCAACAGCGCAACAGGGGCTGCGTGTGTGTAATGCCCAACTCATGCTTTTCAGGGTCGTAGTTTTAGGTTATGCCAGATAACAAACAGGCTGCTGTGTGCGATCTACTCTGAACACTTCAGACGTAACGTACAAATACAAGTACGGACGGACGAGCGCTCTGCTAGCAAGACCTGCAGGGGAATTAACTAAAGATGGCTAAAGCGGTAAAGCCAGGCAGTCTATTTAGGGAAGGACAAGTTACACACAAACACACACACACCAGAGCTTCTAAGGAGAACAGAAGCTGGACCAAAACCCAGAAGGAGCCACCCTTTCACCATGTTTCCACTCAAAGACCAAAGCATCTGTTATTCAAAAGCATTCACAAAAGGACAGACCAATCCTTCCAACTTGTGGAAACAACAGCTTCTGGGGGGTTGAAGAGCATCGAAAGGTGCGACTCTCGAAGATATGCTCCTCTAGCTTTAGTCCTAGGAGCTCTGAAGTAGCTTGTAATAAAAAGCTGTGGGCCTTGGCAGCCTCTGCTTCGGACAGCCCCAGAAGCCCCCTCCATGGCTACCAAAGAGGAATGGCCAATAGCCTGGGAGTCTCAGGTGCAGGGCAGCACCAAAGGAACTCCCAGGGACCCTGCCACACTGAATGAGCTTGGCCCAATGCCTCTTGCCTCCCTGCTTTGAATTTCCTTGTAATTTATTCACATTTTCTTCTGATTTACTATCGTTAGCTCTCACAGGTACTTTTCTTTAACCTGGGAATTCCCTGCACGAGGAATTAAACATTGAATGCACTTCTCCAGCACTCTTTCCCACAAGCCTTATTTTCTTCTTGTGGGGAGGAGGTTGTCTCCTGTCTTACTTATATTCCAGCATATTCCCACAGAAGACATACTGTATAGTATACACCACAGAAATACAGAATGTCATTGTACCTGGGCTACTTTTTGCAAGCCTGGCCGTCTTGACTTCCTTCTGTAACCGTGGCCAACAGAAGGTTGCAAAAAAGGTGTGAAAAACAAGCTACCCCCTCACCTGCTACTCCAACCTCACAAGAAGCTAACAAAGTTATTTGAACAAATGAACTTGCCAATGATATGAAAAGTGTAAAAACACAAAAATCAGCTCTACAGAACTAGCAAGGATTTGGACCAAAATCTCACTGGCTCAGAGGCCACCCCTCCAAAAGGAGGTCAACAACCCGTTTAGACCAGCGTGGGTCAAGAGAAGGGTGCAGGGCCGTGCTTCCCAGCGCCTTGGGTTTATCGATTTTCTTGGGACTTCAGCCCCCAGAAATCCTGGCCAGCGCTACCAATGGTGAAGGTTTCTGGGAGTTGTAGTCCGAGATGCATCTGGGGAGTCCAAGAATGTCCATCTTTGTAGGCTCGGGGAGGGGGGAAAAGGCAAGATAGGTGAAAGAGATCACAGCACAGAAAGAACAGGAAAGGAGAAAAGTTTTGCTTCACAGAGGAGGCATCCCAAAAAGCTGCTTCTCCTCAGAACTTGTTTGTGTTTATTGGAATTACGACTTCTGATGACTTCTTCAAGAAAGTACCTACTGCAGCTGCCTTGAGGGAAGAGAGGAGGGGTATCTGTAGGGAAGAAGCCCCCCTGAAAGCAATCAGTGGGGAAGGACCCCATCAAGGGGCACGGAGTGGGGGGCTTGATTCCTTTCTCACTTTGTTGACGACCATGACCCCTTCTCTTACGGAAGATGGGGGCCACCCAACTGGTCCACTGGCTACGCAGACCAAATAAAATCGTGTTGCTTATAGATTAGACAGATGGCTCTACTTTTGGCCCGCCCTTCTTGCCTTTTACTTTTACACATAAACGTCCAGCCATGTTCGAAAGTTTAAATCACATAAACTGAATGAGTTGTACGGTAGGGCAGAAGACATATCTTTCTCATTCCTTTTCTTGCCTGGAGTTGGAAGATCTGCTTCGATTTAGATTTCTGCCTGGAGCAGGAGGCTTCGAAGCAGGCCGGAATCAGTCTTCTTGTATAATAAAATAAGGAAGGTAAGCTCTGTTGGTCTGAGGATGGGATCCAGGAAATTGTGTATGTGTGTAGATAGATAGGTAGATAGACAGACAGACAGAAAAAGTAAGAAATGCAGGTAGACAAGTCATCTATTTATATCTATACACACACATATACGTGTGTGTCAAAATCTCATGCTTTCACTTTGTTATCTAACTGTACATAGGAGTATATGTATATATATTCTGCCAGGAAAAGGGCACGAACCTTCAACCTGGGACCCCCCCTCTCACACACACACAACTTATATATACAAGTAAAAGGTAAGAAGGACAGGCAAAAACAAGCCACAGATGTGTGTGTGCAGACACACAATCATAACGTGCATATATCTTTACGCACTCACACACATTATGGTTTACCGCAAGGACCCACGGCCCCCCTCTTCATCCCCCTTTTACTGAGATCCCAAACTTTCCAACCGAGGACCCTCAAACACCCCACCACCACCAAGCAACCCCACTCCCCATCCCAGGTAGTGGGACCAGGAGGGAGGTGGCAGGGTCTTTCCTCCCTCTTCCCCCCCAATCATCCT